TAAATGATCTTGAAATCAAATCTTTATAAAGGCATATTCTAATGAACTTGGCGACAATTCAAAATACGTGTTAATATAAAGTACTTGAGGTTTTTGTGATCTATATACATATTAATAGGATTTGAAGTGCCTTCTAAATAATAATGTCATTCTTGAAATGAATCCATTATTGAATAAAGCTCCTTATCATGAATCTCATAATTAATCTTTGCTGCTAAAATATTTCTAGAATGAAAAGCTACTGGGTGGAATTTATCATTTGCTTCCATTTGTCACAAAATGGCATCTAGAGCAAAATCTAATATGTTTATTTTCATGAAAAATGCCTTAAAAAAATCAACATAATATAAAATTAGTGCAAAAATAAATGATGTCTTCAAGGCTTCAAAAGATATTTCAACTTCTTTGCTTCACTCAAGTTTTTCTTTACATGTTGCATATGTAACAAGAGCCACAATTTGACAAAAGTTCTTGATAAAGATCTCATATTAAATGAAAAAATTTAAAAAATATTACACATCTCTCATTATTTTTGGAATCTTTTATTTCATAATATTTTGGACATTTTTTAGATCCATTATTACTCCTTCATTGAAAATAATATACCCTAAGAACTGAACTTAAATAATAAAGAATACACACTTTTTTATTTTGGCATATTATTTTGCATCTCTAAGTTTTTGTAATATACAAAAAATATGAATTTTATGTTATTTTATATTCTTAAAATAGATTAGAATTTTTTTTAAATATTAAACAAAAAAATCATTAATAAACTCACAAAAAACATCATTCATGACATATTGAAAAGTAATTGGTCCATTTGTAAGTCTAAAAGGCATGACATTATATTTGAAATGTCCATATTTAATTTGAAAAGCACTCTTTCATCTATTCTTTGATACGGATCACATTGTATGTTCTTCACAAATCTATTTTTTTGTAGATCTTTGTTTGATTGAGTTGATCAAAAAATCTTGAAATCAAAAGTAGAAAATACCTATTTTTAATGGTGATCTTTTTAAGTCATCAATAGTCTATTCACATCCATAGAGATCTATCTTTTTTTTTCACAAATAAGATAAGAGCTCCTGTTGGAGATTTTGAATGGCATATAAAGTTTTTAGCCAAATTCTCATTAATATGTTCTTTTAGTGCAACCAACTCATTCTACAATAAGTTGTAGATCAATCCAAATGGTGGTTGAGCTCTTTCTTATAGATCAATTGACAATTAAAAGGTTGATACTCTAAAAAAAAATTTGTATTTTTTTTTTAAAAAACAACCTAAAAATCTTAATATTTCTAGGAATATCACTTCATGTCTTTTCACCATCAAAAATAAGCGTGGCATATATAACAAAAGATAATCATTTTTTTGCAACATGTATAAATACTTTCACACCTACTAGTAAGAATTTGGATATATTAGACTTATATATTTCTACTTAACTAATGAGATTTTGGATTAAACTACCAAAATAATTAAGGTTACAAAAAATCCAATTTATTTGAAGGTTATATTTTTTTAACTACAATAATCCTAAAATAACAAGATTACAAGAAGATCTTATTATATTAAATATTCTTATACTATTATTATCTTTAATTTCTAAATTTAAGGAAACAATCTTATAGATAACATCTCTAAAAGACAATGATTGATCATTTATGACTTCTATATGTATAGATTTAATTTTCTTCATTAAAGATATTTCTTGTTTTTTGACAAAAACTTTGTCTATAAAATAAATTAAGACTCGTGAACCTAATAATGCAAAGACTTTGTGATTTTTAGGTCATAAATATACATCTATTATAAAAAAAAAGTGACGAATTTGAGGAGAGAATAGAACCTTTACTAGATGTTGCACATGATTCTAGCTACACATTATATAATCTCTATTATAGCTGAAAAAATTTGTTTTTCAACACATTATCTTCTTTAGTAACCATGCTCCTCATTTTATGATTGTGTTGCTTCTTTAGACAATGTTAAGCAGTGTGTTTAGAGATCCTACAAAACATTGCCATGTAATATTTAATTACATAATATATATATATATATATATATATATATATATATAATAAAGATTTTTTTATTCTTACCAAATCCTTTCTTTATTCTTGATCTTGTTTCAAAAATCTTTAGTCTTCTTATCTTTGGCAATAGTCATTCTAATTTTAATATTATACTAATTTTAAAAGAATATTTAATCTTTTTGAGTGACATAACAGTGTATTGAGGTTTTTATTGTTCATATCCTCAATACATTCATAATTTGAATTTTTGTTCTATAATTGAAAACTTGCAACTTTTGGTAGAAGTCTTTATCTAATAGAAATAACTTTCTACTAAATTGCTTATAAATATGAATAATATCATGTATCAATTTCTATATAGCCTCAATTATTAACTTATTAATCATTAACACTTCAACCAAAATAAATATCTTAGCATTCTAAAATCATATTTTTAATTTAGATTCTTTCATGATTAAAAAATCATTTTATTATTCAAAATAAACACAATTTTAAAATTTTGATTAATTTATTATTTTTTTATCTTCAAGTAATAAAATTACAATGCCAAAAGAAATAATTATCATAACAATTTGTGTCTTCTCTCTAAAATATATTAACAAAATATTTGTAGATAAATATTTTTCATATAGAACCAAGTCCATTAACAAAGTCATTTTTTATCTCTATTATTATTTTTGTTAGCAACAAATAATTGCATTATATGTAATGCTTTTTTTTTTCATTAAGAAATAAAAGTGATTGAAGATTAGCCTCATTTATATTTGATTATATGATATATGGTTGAAAAACAATTGGCCTTCTTGTACAAGTATCAAGTGATTGGCAATCTTGGCAATCCCATTATTTAGTTGAGGTAGACTTAGAAAATTATTTTTTAGAAAAAATTATTGTGTGAAAAATGAAATTGAATACCAATCGATACTTTGATAATTATAAATTCATGATTAAAAAATTCAAAATACATACATTTACATTTTTATCTTCTAAAATTATAAGTAAAACAAGAAAAATACACTTAACATGTTGTATGACAATATGATGCAAGTGAAACCTACACTCAAAATTCAACTGCAATGCAGCACCTAGAAACATCCCCATGTCCTTTGGGTTATCAAAAGCTATCACGATGTGTGCATTATCACAGAGTTCATTATTGTCAAGGGTGATTTGTACCCACTCTATCGGTTGACATTAATGGCCTCCTTCAATCAAAACTTTGTTCTCGACATGCTTTGTGGGATTGTTCCAAGCACAGAAAGCAACATTTTCACATCATCGATTGAGTAACACAACTCCACAAACTTTACAGAACATGGGATTCCGACAGTGTTGTTGCATGGAAGGGTGGTTGAGTCAGGCTCAAGGCTGGACATGCTCAGGAGGTGGAACAATGAGGCTGCGGAACCCACTGTTTTGTGTTTGTTTCGGGAAGTGAGGGTGCTGGATTGCGACGATGGAGCGTTTAGATGTGGCCGATCGACGAGCTGCGATGCCAACTATACCAGCCGGGCAACTGACCCATGGAGACGGCGAGGTCAAGGAATCGGGGTCGGGTCGACCGTTGCAGTTGCACACCAAATGGCAGGAGAATAGAGTCGATCTGTGCCAGGACTGTGCAAGAGAGAGAGACAGAGACGCAATTACGTTTGCCAGGGAAGGTAGAGACCTGATTGAAGACGCTCAACAGCACTGTTCAGGAGATGGACCCCAACAAGCTTCCTGGGATTAGATTGAGTTCTACCGCATTGCGAAGATCGTCTAGCTTGCTAACGCGCAGGAAGACAACAAGCTGTGTGGATTGGATCATTTCCATCGAACTCCAGCGTCTCTTCCAACGAGCGCTGCCTTGCTGCTTGTGTGCGCCGACACCAAGTCTAGCTGCGAACTCGCTCCACAAACATTAAGACTTATGTCTTCAGACTTAAAATGTCTATGAAGTGAGTTGCGAACTCGTGAAACGAAAAAGATCCCGTTGAGTGGGAAATGCACCAGCGTCCTCCAGAATGCCTGGTCACGAAGCGAAACCGTTCACGCAGTGTGACAGCTGGGGGATCATTTCCACTGGCCCAGACATTTCCTCGGCTACCGAGTCACACTCAGAACCGAGTGCCGGAAATCCAGTGTGTAGGTGACGGCGCAGCATTTCTTCATCGCATGCTTCAGGCGATCAGAGCACGCCAAGGTCAAGGAATCATCGCAGAGGTGCGCAGGCTGGTGGACCACGCATCAATGGCAGGTCCATATTTAGGCTACTCGACAGGGAGAGGCTGGATTCGCTGGAGGATGCGAATTGTTGCAGAGAACAAGAGACGGTAAAATGTTGTCTGAAAAATTACACAAAACTAGAAAACCATTAAACTATTACAATAATGATACCGTTATTATTGATACATGTGTATACACACAGCAATCGAAATTTGTATTACAAGCAAAGCTCATAAAATGTTGAAACATGAATAACTCACAGGTGAGATATCCCAGAACAAATTTAATAGGTATCTAACTATACTGACCTGGAAATTTACAGCAGTAATGTGGCTCGTGAATTTCTCAAAATTTTGATTTGAATGGCTTGAAATAAAAGTGGAAGCAACACAGTAGAAGGAACAGTAGTGAGTGTTCATCCAAATAAAAACAAATCTATGAAACCAATCAGCTGTCGTGCACATTAATAACATTGCAAACTACACACACAATGTAAGATTTTATCGAAACGTTACTTAGGTAAGAAAAGATTACTTAATCTAAAAATAGATCTATAAATAGGATACAAGCAAAATCTAATTTTACTTTTTCATTGATACTCGTTCTTAAAAGGTATTCGTTTCATTATCTTAAACCACTAATGCCATTTGCCACCCTTTTCACAATAAAAGTCAGCAGCATGGAACGAATACATAGTACAACGATGGAGGAATTCATAAATACATGTTGCAGCATAAGATAGACTATACGTAACTTAAATCATTTTGTGATCTGTTTAATAATTCTAAAGTACAGGAATGACAAAATTTACTATCTCGTGGGTACTCAAGTAGTAGGTGTTGCTTTTATTTGGACGCCTCAAGCGTACACTAGTCCCCTGAATGACTCCTCTTTAAAAAAAATTGTGATTTGTCCAGCCGGCACTGATTGTCCTAGCTAGTAAATTACCACATGAAATATGCTTGCAAAAAGTAGAGGAACTCTGCTCTTCCTGACAATCACTCAAGAGAGTGGTCAAAGTAAGGAGATACTGCTATAAGCACACGACTACAACAGGATTAGCTAACAAAATAAATCTCCATGAGGTCTCCTTGGGGTGAGAAAGCTCAATCCTTTGCAAATGAAGGTTTTTGTCGATTTTTCTTCTGATTATAGAACTTCTTGCCGCCTTGTTGTTTCTGATCTTGAATCTCCAGGTACTTGCGCTTCCTGCCATGACAAGTATAAGGAAAAATACTGTAAGCACCCTACCCTAATACATCCCCACGTAGTTCTAAGGAGTAAAAAGCTGCAGCGATTTCAGTTGAAAAGGAAGCCTCCGTATAGCAACTGTTTTCTCCAAGCCTTACCACAAAGAACCGATGACAAAGGCAGTACATAGTAAAAACATTCCAAACCAGGACCTACACCTATGATAGGTATAGCATACCTGTATGCCTTGAGCTGTGTACTTGATAAAAGCTCATCTGCAAATGTCTGTTTACGCTCTTTCTTTGTCAATCTACCTGAGTAAAACTCGGCAGTGCCTTCCACTACCCTTCCAACCTGCACCAAGAATTCGATTTTATGGGAAAGTGACATGGTATGTAACTGTTGAGGTATGATGATCTCTGTGGCCACAAAGATGCAGTGAAACTATACACATCTTCAAACAACTCACACCAGCTACAGTTTCGAATAATATTTTCGATGACTACGTTCACGTAATTCCAATCAGGCGTAGGATTTTTCCAAATATTGCTTTCCAATTACCAAGTAGAGAGCACAAATATATCCAATTCACTCCATATCAGTATGTATGTGATCAATACTTTCAAAATAAGTACATCACCGAACGTTATGAAGAATTCAAATGAAGCAGATAATATGAAAGTTATTGGCGTTCACAATATTAGCTTTTCTATAGGCATCTCAATTTTAAGGCCTACAAATATTACCTGGAAGAATTTGGGTACACCCTTAGTATCGTTGGCTTTGTAATGTCGCTTAGGGTCAACAACACCCCTGAGCTGCACCACAGAATAAAACAGAGGAGAGAACATGTCAAAACTGAGAACATCATGCTGAAAACAAAGCCACCTCATTCGAGCAAATGAAATTCACTACTGCTTCGAAATAACGTGTCCGGGAACGCGAAGCAACTATTAATTCTAGCATTGACCTAAGTACCGCTCTTATAATACGGACTCCACGCCTCCTGACAACGAACTGATACAAAACCCTGCATCCTAAACCCCGCATTCGAGAAGTGTGGAAGAGCTAGAACAGAAACTCGAAACCCAAAACTTTGTATCAACAAGAACTGAGCAGCTAGAACCGATGCAATTAACCCAGAATCCTAAACCCTTTGCATCCAAAATGACTGGGAAGTATCCACCTTAAGAAGTTGCAGGTCCTTCTTCAATTCTGGCGTAATGGTCGGTGCTGGCATGTTAAACCTACGCAGCGCAGAAATTCAAGAAATGTGAGTACCAAACTACACGACGCATCCTCGGCTGCATACACAAAGACCTACACCTGGCGGAGGGCGGTGAATCGTACCACTTTGCTCCGGCAGTCTCCTTGACATTCTTACGGGCCAATTTGCGTTGCTTCTTTGGATCCAAAGGTGGGACATACAGTCCATCCACCAAGTTTTTCTCCTGTAACACATCCTGGGGCTTATACTTGGCCAGCACCCCGGAAGAAGACCCAGTGGACTGTATCTTCGGAAGGCCTGTCTCCGGAGTCCACACTATCTTCAAGTCCTTGACATTGGGCCCTTCAGACAGCGCAATTTCGAAGTCTGCCATGTTCGATCACACGTAAAGAAAGCAACAACGAGGTGCCCGAACAAGCTCGTCGGCGAATCCAAGTCGAGCATGATCAACCTCCGGAGCTACCAAGCGCTGGTAAACCCTAAATTCCTGTCACTGGAGCGGGGTAGATACCCGTATCCGGTTATGAGAATGTGCCTCGAAATGGGTATCAACTGAATCCGGTTTTGTCTGTACCCGGAGTTATGCAGTTTGGCCCACATGTAAGGATCTGACATGCCTTTTGCTTCAAATAATAAACTAGTGGCTTGCAAATACAATCAGATTTCATTGCTTTGGTTATAGGCAGGTCTCTTTAAAGTAGGGCTTTCCTTGAAATACCTAATTTAGATTATTTTAGGGTTGCAGTTAGGTTTTATTTTAGGTAAATTAAGAATGGATTAAAGTTGTGGAAACTAGCCATTGCAATGAGCCCATCTGATGTGAAATATTATTTGCAAATCAAAGCACTTGTCAACAGTGTCCTTGAAGGTCATCTCCTCTTAATAGGTACACACCATGGCTTGGTGGTTATTCATAATATTCTCAATGGAATGATTCTAATCATAGTTTGTCCCAACAAATGAAAATACATAGTGGAGACATCTGTATTATACACAAATCATAAGGCAACACTTTTGGAAGGTCTTCATTGTTGGCATCATTGTTGCAATCACATTGGACAACAATGGACATAATGTTGTTAACAAGCCTAGCAAGCAAAGCCACTACATTATGAACCATGGCCTTGCCTTTGACTACAGGTAGTGAAGCCATAAGGCTCATCATGGAGGTGCCTTAATCTTAAATGAAAGCATCTGTACTTGTCAAAGCCACATACTAAGATCCATGGATGACTACATTTAAGGCACCATAAGCCATGGCTAAAGTCTCCACATTGTGCAGACCTTGCACTTTGCACAAACCCACCAAAGACTAAATCAAACCTTTGAGCTTTCTATTGATTCAAAAGGATGCTTAGTCCTTGTACGCATGTCACAATCTTAGAGATTATCTTTGTAATGTTGTCAAGTGCAAGTAGTACCACCAACTAAAAAATGAGAGAAATATATAAATGTAGCTTCTATGCAAGGTATTCACAAATCACTACACACCCTTGTCGCAAAAATCCACTCAATTTTTTCATGGATGACTACTACATATCCATGAAATTTGGGCATTTAGAATCCATCTTCTTGATGAGATTATACTATTGGCAAAGGTAAAAAATGAGGCCCATCAAGATGTTGATGGCTTGGTCATTATACAACTTGACATACTCAGCTTCGACCATGAAGTCAAGTTAGTAAAAAGCATACCACACCCACACAACCCCATTATCAACCGCCTTGACCATCTTCCTCACAATACCAAAAATTTACCTTCGTTATGTCAAAATGAGTTGTAAGGATATTTTAAAAATTTTCTTGGTTGAAGAATTGCTTCTTTGAAGCATTTTGGAAGGTATTGTGCACTATCCATGTTTTGGCATGCTAGACTTCATGTAAGCTATGATATTGCTTATTTGAAAAAGAATTGAAAATATTTCTACATTCATCATTTGCAATCGCTTATGCCTTGTGAGATCAACTTCTTTGCGACTGAGCTTCTCACAAAACAAGCACCATTGTCGTATTACGTATATTCTTATCTGGAAATGCATCAAACATTTAGCTATGGAAGATAAGTAGAAATGCAACAATAATCCTACCAAGTCTAATAGAGTCTTAAATAAACTTTAAGTAATCCTTAATAATCCTAATCAAACATTAATCAATCCAAAATAAATTTAAAAGAAGTTACAAAAGAAATACAAAGAAGCTATAAATTAATCTCAAATAAATCTTTAAAAAAATATAAAAATAAAAGCTTAAAGAAATATTAGAAATAAAAAAGAATCCTAAATAAATACTAAAAATAGAAAGATTAAATAAATCCTAAATAAATCTTAATCTAATTTTAATTAATTCTAATTAAAATCCAAGTGAATCTTGATAAAATCCTAGATCAAATCCTAATTAAATCTTAATTATAATCTTAATTGAAATCTTAATAAATTTTAATCAAATCCTAAGTCAAATCTTAATTTAATCCTAATTAAAACTCTAATTGAAATTCTAATGAATCTCAATAAAATTCTAAATCAAATCCTAATGAAACCTTAAACCCTAATCAAATTCTAAATCCTAGAGCAATCCTAATGAAATCCTAGTAAAATCCTAAATTCTAATTAAATCCTAATTGAAATCCTAATAAATCTTAACAAAATCTTACTTCAAATCCTAATAAAGTTTTAAATCCTAATCCTAGATCAAATCCTAATAAAATCCTAATAAAATCCCAAATCTTAAATAAACTCTTAATAATCTTATAGAAAATTCAAACTTCAATAATTAATGATCAAACTCTTGATATCAACTCAAAATTTGCATACTTTTTAATAACTCAGTTTGAAACAAATTTAAGAAAAATGAGATCAATTGCACTTACCAATTGAGAGAAATGTAAGATAATTCTTTTGGGTGTTGAGCAACATCTTTCTCCAAACTTAACATTAAGCTTCTAATGCAAATATTTCCTTCCTAAATTATTGGATTTCTCTCAAAATTCATACAAATGTTGAAAATCAAGTCCACTACCTATATAAATAATTTTCACTTCAATTTAACAATTAGATTGCTGAAGATCTTAGAAAGTCTTAATGATTCCCATATTCTAATTTCTAAGACATCAACCCACTTGAACTTTAATAACCTTCAACCTAACTATTTGATTTAGCTTAAATTTACAGCACATATTTAGCACAACTATATGTATAAATCTACAATTTTTTATTTATAGATCTATTGCAAAACTCATAAAATTATTCAATATATCAATCCTATTTTGTTTCACAAAAACCAAAATCACTCAGAACAATCCTGACTTTGTAAAGCACTTACAAAGTCATTATGAACTCAAATTCTTCAAAATAAATGCTTAAAGAAATCCAACCCTATTTGCTCTCAAATCTTATTCTTTGATTTATAAACAAACTTTGGAGTTGCCATAGGTGTGCAATTTTATACCTTAGGATTTGATTTTAAACAATGTTCACAATTATTCCTCTCTAGATATTAATTTTTAGTAATTTGAGGTAATTTTTACTTAAATCTATTATTAATTTTTTTTTAAAGTTATTTATATTATTTATTTATCTTATTTATTTTGATTTGAGGCATTTATATTTCTACAAAGTAAATAGATGTCCCTTCTACAAAAAATAGCATTTAGACTAAAAAGTTTACTACCTTCCTATCATTTATTTTTATTTTTCTACTACAACTTTCTACTTGACTCTTCTATAATAACATCCATATTTTTATTTTTCACCATATATTCATGTTACTATATAACATTTTATTAATAGAACTTGGTTGGTATTCTCATCTTGTGGATTTGGCACAAGGTTGAACTTTACCTCCACAAAGGATTTCCAAGGAGTCTACAATTCCTTCACTATGGTGAATTCTACATGCATATTCCAATGTAACTTCTATGACTATAAGTTGGTACTTCTTTACATGGATCACATTATGGAGTGCTTCTTCCAACCATGTGGAGGAATACTATTAGGGCCTTATTTTAGATCATCTCACTAAGCTTATTTTAGATAAATTATGATTTTTTTGGAAAAAGCTCTAATTTAAAGAAGCTTAGTTATAGGTCATCATGGCAACAACTATATGTATGCATATATGAAGACATATGCTCAAGTGTGTTGAAATTCCTACTAACTATTTAAATAATCATAATACTAATACTTACATAAATACACTAATATTATATAAACAAATAAATAAATATAATATAAAAAATAAAATTATGTATATATATACATACCATTATTAATGAATTTTGTATTCTTAACTCTAGAAATTATTGTGTGAATTTTAATTTATGAGATCATCAAAATTTTGAATTTTATTGATTTTTTAATCTATTTTAGAATTTATGTGATGTTTTTAGTATTTTAGTATTTTTATTGTTTGAACATGCTATTGAAATTTGAAGACTCAAAATATTATAGTGTTCATTTTTTGTTATAGAAAAAATATCTATAACATATTAAGAATTTATTTTCTAATTTAAAAAATAAAATCATTATGTAATATGAAATAAATACAAATTTTACTAATTATATATATATATATATATATATATATATGTATAATTCAAATAAATATTATAAAAATGTGGAAAGATTTACTCTTACGATGTCTTTTTAGTCCATCAAGCAAAAATTGCTTTCATTTAATATTGGATTGAAAGATTTTTTCTATTATTAACATGCACAGAATATTAACACACATACTTTTAGACACAAGGGCTTGTATTAAGTGTCAACGAAATGCAGTCGAGCACAAGCAAACGTTGATAGAAATATCGAAGTATTATATGCTTTGTCTTCTTTATTTGTGTATATGTGTATATATATACATATTTACATATTTTTCTGGGGTGTGTGTGTATGTGTAACTTGAATCACCCACACACGTATGTGATTCACTCAGATATAGCTAGAGAGTTTCAACCACAACCCAGTTGACAATGCTGCAGAGCTGCCAAGATTAAATGGAAGCAGTAGACTGCATTACAACAAAATCAAGCAAGCAAACAAACGAACAAAACATTCAAGGCTGGGAATCAACTCAGAGCATGGGCAGTCTGATGTCCAAAGATTGACTCGTCGCGTGAAAAAATTTAGTTTGGTGAATGTTCTTTTGCAACACAATTCTAGTTGTGTGAATCCTTGGGACTCACCTACATTGGATTGAGACTTATGAAATGTTGCAGTGTTTCGTTGAGGAGATTGGATCGCGGCGACACGTTTTCTCATTGGGAAAATCGAGTTCGAGGAGACGCGTGACAGTGGTCCATTGGTTATACACTAACCACTCACTCAAGCTGACGAGTGTTTTTACGATTCTGCTTCGTTGTAATTCATGTCGTGGACAAAAGAAAAGGCCAGGATTCTAAGCAGAATGGTCAGAGATGTATGAAGGAAGGTCAGGTTGCTGCAAGCCTTTCAGGCTTGTGAAGGTCAGGGCCTTTGGGAGCACTGGCGTAAAGATTTGGGTGTCGGCTTACACTGCTGGTTCCTTGCAAAGAGGACTTGCGCTCTGCTGATTCCTGGCCGGCTCCTGAAATCTACCAGCTGGTAGAATACAGGACTTCGATGTGTCCGCCACCAGTTGGACAGGGGATGCTTTCTGTTTTTTGTTTGTTTGTTTTGTTTTGTTTGTTTTGTTTTGTTTTGTTTTTTTTCCTCTCATCGTGCCAGTTGACAGGGATGAGAATAAGTACATCATTTGGGACACTGAAGTGTCACCACTGAAAATCCCTCTGAAGAAGAAAAGAAAAAGAAAAATAACCTCATGTAAAATCTCAGTACGTCTTACAAGAAAATGATGAGATGAAATCTAGAGAGCTTAACGTTTGTCAAAATTGTGTTTCAGAAATAGATAAATTGAAACCTGTCCGCCAAGGAGTAGCTTCACTTCGAGCGTCCACAATAGATTGTGGACCGGACACAGATTCGATGGAGTTCCATAACAGACATAGCGTACTGTGTTGGACTAATGCAACATTGAATGCAAGCGATGTATTCTTCCTATCATGTGGTTTTGAGTTGTCACGGAGCAGCAGTTAGATCCATTGGAAGTGAACCGGTGACGGGAAGCCTTAAAATGTGACACTTCTGCAGCGTGGTACACGTACATTTAAGTGGGAATTCAAATTAGATAGTTACCTCTTCACAAGAAAATATTCGGTAGTTTATACTCTGGATCACACGACCAGATGCAACAGAAATACTAGAGGGCAATGTCTCATATTGGAAACGAAGCTGTGGGGATTTGGAGCAAAATGAAGAGGGATCTGATTTTTTCCAATGATGTTCATCCTTCAACGACCGGCCATTACTCAAAATTAAAGCCTTTATGATGCTGACTGATATCTTCCGATGTCAACTGGCATGAGCAATAGAGGTCGTAAACAATTTGCGTTTACTGAGCAGTTTGGGCTTCATGGATAAATTTAAAGTTTGACTCTCCCTGATTTGAGCTCCACTTCTCTGCTAGAAATAGATGTGGGTTTGGTGGTCTATCTGACAATCTGCGCTGCGGCCATGTAATAACAATGCACGATGGCAAGGGAAGAGAAGCGCAGCGTGCATTGTACTTGGCTTGTTCCACTGTCTCACTTCATCCATCCGTCACTTCAAAGAGGTTCATAAATTCATCTGCAATAGAGTCAGTCAGTGCTACCCTCACCGAGTCGCTACAGTACCCTGGACTAGTCGCTACAGTACCCTAGTCACAAAACCTGTCATGAAACGGGATAGGCAATCAATGAGTTATCAGTGCATGGACCTGTACTACAGGCAAGAGAGGGGATAACTTCTGAAAATTTATAACTTGGCAACTTCTGTCACCAGTCATTGATCACCAGAAATCTATTTGCAAGTCCTGCACCGTACAGGAAGGATTTTCAAAAAGCACGCATATTCCAAAGAAGAAAAGTATACAACCCATCTCATGCACTGCGATTACATGTAAGTAACCTTGGCGACTGGAAATAGCACTACTGTCAGGTGAGCCTCGGCATGGATGAATCCAGAATCATTAAAATTTAAAAATATAAGTGATTCAAAAGAATGTATATTGAGGAACATTGACCTATCAATCCACCGTCAATGTCGACTCTACACCACCTGGGTCAGACACTGAATCTAAACTGCGCTACACACAAAATTTATCCGGCTGCAGGATTTCCAACTCCTTGACATCGTTTGCCAGTCACTCATGACCACCATGTCAGTGGCAGAGGATAACTTCAAAACTTATGTCAAACAGACAACTTCACATTGTCACTCGCACCACTTTCTATATCATCGGGCCGAATGAAGCGTTCCTGCGAGATCTACGATAAGAGGGCAGCCACGAAGAGAGAAGCCAGCGCTGCGACAAAATCAATGTTGACAGAGACGGCGGAATTGGCGTTGATTGGAGACGTGAATGGCTCCGCAACAGCAGGTGTCTCGTCCGCAGAAGGTCCGTTTGTGGGAGGAGCAGGTGGAGAAGCAGCAGGTGACACCACAGGGGTAGTTGAGGGAGCAGGTGTCGGAGTTACCAAGGATGGCTCTGGAGATGCCGTGGGAGGGGCCATTGGAGAGGGCACCACTGGAGCCAGGACAGGGGCTGATGGAGCCACGGCAGGAACAGATGCCGGGGCTGTAACAGGGGCCACGACTGGGGCGACCACTGGAGCTACCACGGGAGCAACCAGCGGGGCAGGAACTGGGGCGACGGTAGGAGGAGTAGTGGGGGCCAGCTGCGCGGCAGCAAGACCAAGGGGCGTCATTACAGCATCAACCCGGAAGAAACTGTAATTGTATGGAAATTGAGTGATGTTCTCGAGAATGGTGGCTTGAGGTGGAGTGCCTGCGGTGGAAGGGCCAGCTGCAACTGCATTGGAAGGCGTAACCGTAATGTTGACGAAGCCGTCCAATTCATTGGCACGTCCCGTGGTTTGATACAGAGTGGTAAACATACCGCCGTTGTTAGTCTGAGTTCGGAGCTCCGCACTGTCAAGATATTGGAGGAGGACGTGATACCTGATCACATCAGCAAGCATTTGGGTGGAGAAGCTTCTGCGAGCAGCAATGAATGGATCAAGCACAGAGTTCGGTGGGCACAAAATTGTGAGAGAGGACCGAGTTTGGACTTCGCTGAGTACAGCTGTGCTCTCCATGAGAGACTTAAAAGTCGAGTACTCAGGGTATCTGGCGAGAACTAGAGAAATGTTCTGCGCGGTTGTGATGGATAGAGTGCCCAGAAGGAGGAGCCCGACGAGGGCTACAGCCTGCGTTTTCATTGTCAACTCCTGATACCTCCAATCGCCAACTGCAAAAGCCAAAGCATTCAGTGAGATGTGCAGAAGTCGAGTTCGGAAACAAACAACCGATTCATTACATTCCACACATGTGATGGGTATTATTATGCAATATGAGCGACAACCGACCAAGCGCAGGAGATTAAGCTAAGGAGGCATACTAATCGTCCGCCGTGAATGACTGTGATGATAATACCGGCCTTGTGAGGGTATGCAAAGTATAAGCTCTGGGCTACACGGGCAGTGGTAAACAGACTCATAACAGTATATATCAACGCTTATAGCAGCATGTGACAGGTTAGAAGTGCTTAAGTAATACCAGAATCTACAGGCTTAATTACGGATAAGCCCACTACCGTGCAACCAACAATGCTAGCGGCGGAGATGAGCTCCGCTAATGAACTCACAACGCACGCCATGTAGACGTCGTACCGGATAAAGTATAGTGGAACGCTACCTTTTAAGAGTGCAAATGGCGAGCTAGAGCCCTCACAAGTGCTGACTGACAGAAACACTTCACATAGACATTGCCATCATTTAAATCACAGTAAAAAGTACGAGCTCTCCTACGCAGTAGCAATGCCGGTACAACCAAGGCAGTACCCCATTCGAAAGAAAAGAGGGCGTGCAAACGCCTGTCCGTCGTAGTGAAGAGCCAGGTACAGACTACAACCCACATTAAGAACCAGCCCCTCCAAGTACTCGCCTGAGCCTTAAAACTCGTTCTAAAATGACATTCTGAAAACCGCAATTAAACACTTTGATGATTGACCGTGTGCAGAGCAATGACACAGCTCTCCGCCACCCAAAAACGCTTCACAAACCGAGCTCAATAATAGCAAGCCGATCGACACCTCCCGTGACCGAACTACATAAGAACCAAACACAATAGCTGTAGGACGAGCATCGCAATACACAGCAACTTTCACGACACACTGATCGTTCCACAAGCAATCAGTCACGAGTACCACAAACTGGGCAAAAACACTAGCCTCATGACATGGAAAGGAAAACCCATAAATGGGAAGACGAACCCACCTGAGAAACGGTGTGCAGAAGGGAGAGAACTTTTGAGCGAGGATTCTGATGAAGTGGGAAGAGTAGAGAAGGACGTGAGCCGAGTTGCCTGCTGTGAAAGTGCGCAGGAAGGGGGGCATTGCTGAAGAAGAAGCGCGCAGTCAGGCGGCCTTAACGACGAAGATTGGAAGAGTCGCCGCCGGTGCATCACGGGCCGGGCTCCGTCTGCCCGGTCGCGCGGTCACGGTGAAGGGGGGGGAGGGTCCACCAACGGGTGGCCCCTTGAGGACAGCACGGTGTACCGCAGCTCTCGGTCAGCACCCCGTTGAACAACGGTACCCAGTCACAGCTTCCAGCCACTCCCCACTGTAGCTTTGTCTTCCTAGTTCAAGCTTTCGGTAAGGTCCCTTCCACGTCATTCGTTTTCTCCGCCGTTCTAATGGAAATGTAACGTGTTACCATGGGCACCTGCAGTTCTCGTGTGAAGCACGCCGTGGGAACGCTTTTGTACCGCCCATGCTTTCCTACCCTCCCCTTCCTACCTCCAACCGTCCCGTTCCTACCCTGAAATGCAGAGTCCAAGTATGTCAAACTATCTTTTACCACACGTACATACTTTAATGAACATGGTGCGTTTTGAATTTGAATTATTTATTCAGAAACTAACACTTAATATCAACCTGAAGTTATCTAAAACCAAAGAGCAGGTCAAAAAGTAAATTCCATTTTAATTTCACTTTTTTTTTAGTGGTGTCTTAATATACAATATTTAGTATATTCAGGTCCTAGTTTCACATTGATACCAAATACCATAATCAACCATGTTCATGAATTTATGTTTGATTAATCAATTAACTAACATACTGAATCAAAATTATGCCGATTAGAAATGATTTTTATATAATATTAGTGTTTTGTTTTGTTTTGTTTTTTGTTTTTTGTTTTTTTTTTTTGTGAAATAAGCAAAAAAAGATTGGGTGCATTAAACTATGATGATACAATAGGTGTGTATGTATTTGGGAAGATTGTGGGGATGATAGTAATTAGTAATATTTACTGATGTAATTTGTAGAATAGTCACTCAATTTTAATTTCGAGTTACAAGAAGGTAAGAAACTTATGTATGTATGGATCATCCTAACATGTGTGCATATATACATTAATCAATAAAAATAAATGTTGAACATAATTGGTTTGTATTACGTGAACATTCTTTTGATTTGATAAAAGTTATGTGTGAGAATTCAAAAATACTATTGTGAATTGGAATTTTTATAATGTATTAAGTGACTTTCATAATTTCTAATGCTTAAATTATGTGTCAAAATTCATAAAAGGATAAAAAAATACTTCAATACATTATTTGAAAATGTTTCAAAAATAAAAGCACCTTTATAAGTTTGAATAATTGATATTCACATTTAAAGCTGATTATGTTGTATTTTAAATCCAATGGTCAAATTCATAATTTTATATACATTTATTGACTTATGTAATATTTGGCTTAGAACAATGGGATTTCTTTTGTTGCAACATAAACAATAACTTTCTTCTTATTTGATTTGAATCATATGTTATTTTCATGGCATCCAATTATATATCATGTGTATATATGTTCAATAATTTTAGTTGATTATAAGAACAAATGAGACAACAACAAGAAATTTTGTATAAGAGTGATGATATGTCAATGGTTCATGGAAAAAAAAATCCAATACTACATGTGGCTTGAAGGAAAGAACCACATCCTTTTTAACATTATTATGATTATTATTATTATTATTATAATTAATCTCTTACTTTTCATTCATTATTTTTTATATAAAAAAGTAATAAATATTTTTTAGAAATTCTTCAAATGCAACATGCTTTTAACAATTGCATAGAAGTTAGACAAAATTTTGTACCCATAATTCTATTAATTTTTATGCAATATTTGTAGCTAAAGATTTTTTCAGTAATATTGATATTGGAGATTAGTAGATTTTGATTAATATACACGAGGTATCTTTAACCAACTTGGTAACTAATTTGTGAGTTTTGAAAAAACTTAAAGCTTGGATCTCCACCAAATGCAAATTGATATTTGCTTAACCATCTTAGCTAACCAAGTTAATACCAAATATTCAAGTCAAAGATTATATTTCATTAATATAAAAATTAAAATAATTTTATAAGCTATTCACAAGGGATAATTTTATTTATTTATTTATTTGTAGATTCAAAACTTATACTAAGTTTCTACTACAAGGCAAAAGATTTCCATTACTATAGTTATTTAATACAACAATCCTCTTTGAACTATTATTGAAAATATACTTTTTCTTTTCTTTTTCTTTCTAACCTATTACATTGTTAATTTTTAAAGCTTTTTGATCTAAGTACAATCCTTGCCACTTTTGTCAAAATTGAGGTGCATAAAGTCAAATACAATTAGTTGTTGTTGCAAAATTCCTCCTAAGAATACTCATATTTACAACTCGTTAACTTTGATACTAAAGAGATTATCTTTAGATCAAAATAAAAAAATTGATGTTTAACAAGAGAGCTATCACTTAATGATGATTCAAGGTGACAACACACCCTCTCTAAATTGAAGTTATGTTTGGAGAAAAGTTTCTAATCTACCTGATTTTGGACCAACTATATTTGAAGTACTGGAATTTAAACTTATAAGTCTTATGCTTAGTAAGATTTATCTTCTTTTTTTAATGACGTATATTACTAACTTGTGTAATTTAACTAATTGAATTGTTATTTGGTCAATATAGAATCAAAGACTAACAATTATTGCATTTGATTTTATTTGTTAAATTTTTAGTCAAATCATAATATCAATCAAAATGATAAAACAAAAGCTTGTTAAAATACTGTCACGGCCATAATCATGTAAACTAATAATTACATATAGAAATAAGTAGAAGTAAGTAAAAGTAGATAAAAGTAAGTTAATTCTATAATATTTAATATAGAAGCTTCCTAGAAACTTCTTAGACGCTGCTTTGACTTCATAGGTGTCTTTAATTGTCTTTTTGGATTAGAAACGTGGTCAACAAGTTGGCCATGTGCCACACATGTTGTTAGCTTGAAGATCAAGCTAACTATGTGGCCCACACATAGAAAAACTTGCCTTGTAAGTCAAGGCATGTGTCCTACAAAGTCAACACATATTGGAGGTCCTATAGAACGTCGCCACGTAGCCCTTAGTTAGATAGTATATATAGAGACAAGAGTGAAGGCTTCTTCACTCTTGTCAACTCCTTTCTTGCTTTTAGTCTAGGTTCAAGAGTCTTTAGTTTCTTGTCTTGTGGCAATAGCCATTCCAGTTTCCTTTTAATATACATACTTGTTTATATTTTGACTTATTATATCGAGATAGCCTTTTTGTGTATATTTTCCCTCATCGAGTCTTTGTCCTTGACAGATTGACAAGAGTACACTTACAATATTAGAGCTTTATTTTTCTTGAGTAAGAGTGGATTATTCCTTTCTCTTGACAAGACATAAGTGTATTAGAAGTTTACGGATTACCCACTTCTAAACTGATATTGTTCTTAGTATCTTCTTTGTTATCAAGCCTTTCTTTTCTTTTGTCTTGAGTAGTATCAAACAAATTTTTCTTTTTAGTGTCATTATGGCAGAGCTTCTTGAAATGAAGAGTGCAATGGCACAAATGCAAGAGCAAATGAGGAAGTTAATGCTTGCGATGCATCAACTCAATTCACCAACACAGGAAAGAACAAGAATTGCAGAAAGTGGGGATATAGAGATGATCGGAGCTGCTTCAACATCTACAACAAATCACGTTCCTTCTCCAATTGTACAACACCCTGTAAGCACTAGAGAATCAAGAATTGCCTTACCTGAGAAATTTGATGGTACGAGATCAAAGTTTCGAGGGTTCATCAATCAAGTACAATTGGCAATTGAACTTCAACCACAAAGCTATCCAACTCTAGGATCACAAGCCAGGTTTATTGACACTCTACTTTCTGGTTCTGCATTATCGTGGTTTTCGTCTTTTCTTGAACAACAAAATCCAATATTGGACAATTTGGAAGCTTTTTTGGTGGAGTTTTGATCTATGTATGGTGAACACGATGCAACTCGTGTTGCAAAAAATAAGATCCGAATTCTGCGACAAGGAAATCGCTCAGTAACAGTGTATGCTTCACAATTTCGACAACTTGCAATTGACATCAAGTGGGATGATGCTGCACTCATCAGTCAATTTCTTCATGGATTGCAATACGAAGTAAAGAAATTGATGCTCAACTTACCTGATCCTCAAACTTTGAGTCAAGCAATCGATTTTGCGGTAAAATGTGATAATCGACTTTTCAAATTTCGATCTGAGAATCATTCACGAGAACCTCAACGTTATTACTCAATGACAACATCAACATCTTTGCCAAATATACATTTGGAAGTAGAAGACATGCAAATTGACACGGTACATTTTAAACCCCTAACTGAGCAAGAAAAGATTCGTCGTCGTCAAGAAGGATTATGTTTATATTGCGAAGAACCTAAGCACACTGCTCAACATTGTCCAAAGAAACGACGCAACTATAAAATGAGGGGTACGACGGTCAAAGAAAACAACATGTCGGAAAACGGATTCGTCCAGCTACAATAGGGACCATGCAGCTGGAACCTTGTACAATTCCTAATGAAGGTCCTATCCTCTCCTCAGAACCCTCTCCTTGTTTTATAATAGACTTATATTTAGGACCTAAGAATTACAAAGCCTCTGCTTTATTAGATTCGGGAGCCTCAACATGTTTTTTAGATGAATAATTTGTTAAAAGTCGTAAAATACCTTTTATACAAAAACCTAAACCAGTACATGTAGAAGTCATAGATGGTCGTCCCTTGTCTTCTGGAGATGTCACTCATGAAACTCATCGTATAAAAGTAACAATAGACGGTCATGATAGCTATATAACTTTTAACATAATTAAATCCCCGTCGAATCCAATTATTTTAGGTTTATCCTGGCTAGAAAAATATA